CCCCCCCCCCCCCCCCCCCCCCCCCCCCCCCCACCATTTGCTCTTGCCATCGGTGTGTTGCTATGCAGACTTTGCCTCTAGCCACAGTCAAGTTTCAGTGGAGGAGGTGTGAGACCAGTCAAGGTTAAAAGGAGAATGGGGGATCATAAGTAGTCTGATCATAAGCAGGAGGGGAGGAAGGAGGAGGGGAGGAGACCTGCTTCTTCAAATGCTTTGGTTCGTCCCTCTGATGTATAAACAAAAAAACACTCAACACCAGAATCCTCTTCCTCCCGTACAGCCGGAGGTTTGTTTTTCATATAATCACTTGAGGCGCGACGCTATTTTGCTTCCCTAAAAACGTCATGAATAGATGATCAGTCTCAGGGCCCCCCCCCCCCCCCATTTCTGATTAAACACGAGCGCAACAGTAGCCTTAAAGCACTGTGGGAAGTGCACATGCAGCAGGTTTCAGTACCTTGGTATTAGAGGCTATAAATAGGCAACAAAGTAAAACACATTAAAAGATCAAGTCCATCGGCCATGTGGTGTTGTGGCTCACCAGGTATCACGGTTTGTTTGACCACAGACCGGAATAGGGAGAGACTGCAGTCTAATGCTTCAACTCAGAGGGATTGAGATCTGTGATCAAAATATGCTGCTCCGTTACAACATGGCAAACAATAAAGAGATAAATGATTAAATCTAAATTAAATGGATTAAAGTAAGAAGCTTAAAGAGAGAGGACAATAATGTGTTGACACAAAAAGTACAAAAAACAACAACAAAGGACAAAGAAATAAATAAGTGATCGTCAGGATTTCAATATTCAGCTCAAGGTCTGGCAGTCAGAGTAGAATTTATCTGGAGGAATTTGGTTTTTGGAAGGCTGGAACGGCAAAAAGGTCTTTGTCCCAGCTTTGTATTGTTATTAGCATTTGGGTTGGGGGAGGGGGGACTCTGGGTGGTTATGGGACACGTCTCAGCTGTCAGCATGGATTATAGGGTCGCGCAAATACACAAGACATTTGGGCTGGGAGCGGTGGGGGGGGGCTTTGGACCTCTCACCAAATGAGACACAACCCTTCTCACAGCTGGTCTGACAAAACAACGTCACACCTTGTGCTTGGTTTGAGGAAAGCACTGAGGTGGTATACCGCATGGGACGATTTGAGAAGTGAACATCCGAGTATAGGGGAGTATTTTCTTTCAATTCAAATTCTTTACTGCAGTGCACTCTGAAGAAATAACAAAATAAATCTCGATTTCAGTGCTTTTAGGCTCTATATCGCACATTGTCTAGAATAAAGACAAAGCAAGTACGTTTTTGATCCTCTTCTCTGATGCACGACAGGCTATTTGGGTCTTGATCTAATCAAAATGTTGCAATGACCCTATAGAGCTTAACATAAGCTCATCACAAGTCGTATAAAAGCTACATTTGGGAGATAAATATTGAGGTAAATCTGGCTGAAAGAGCATTATTGCACAGGAAATGATTTCATTTAGATATTATTATGGATAAAGCAAAATAGCGTCACAGAGCTAAAGCACAGAGGAGCGTGAAACAACAAGCTGCCATTTGCTTGACACGAAGTGCCTGCACTAGTCTTTTGGGGGGGAATTACAGCCATATGGTTGGGGCAAACAGTGTTTAGAGATAAATGAAAACATGTTTTCACTGAAGGGTCACACACAGTATTCTCTCCAGTTAGTTTTTCATTTGTAGGCAGGGAACGGTTGAGAATGGAAGCTCTTATAGATTGAGTGAATGCGGTAAGCAACACTAACTGGACACCTTAAAGTCGATGCAGACAGAACAATAATCATCTAATCAAGTTGTCTCACCTGGCAAATGGAATGTAAGAGATGCTATACCTGAAAGAGAAAAACACAAAGGAAGTTACTGCCTGTAGAAGAACACATTACCATTAGTATTCATATCGCATAGTATGTGATGAATGTGTAATGTTTCCCTTAGATGAGACGTTTCATTTTTCAAATACTTTGTCATTACATAGACGTTCACGACGTCTTGTAGACGACTGCAAACGCATGTTCCTGTGATCCAACATGGATCTTAACTTACGGTTCACACGTTTTATCAACAACGCTCGTCTGAATGACGTCATGCGTTCGTAACGATGTGATGTCAAAGAGATTATAGATTAAAAGGATAAAATAACACCACAAATAATGCAGGTCTTGAAGTACATTTAAGTCTTATTAGCTGCATAATAGTTTCCTTAATGGCAGAAAACCCAAATGTAAAATATGTTAAAATGTAAGCAGTCAGCATTGGACTGAAGGGTCTTTGATGTCGAGGGGATTAACAAAACGTGATTGTGAATGAATTGGATCCACTGTAATCTTTTGACTAATGAGTTCAGACAGATTGGTAGCCAAACACAGAGCACAACATCCTGTATTGGAAATGATTACAGCTGAAGTTAAGCACAAGCAAAATGAAATCAAACACCTAATATATTTGAAATGTGTGAGGAATCTGGTACAGCAGTTGAATGATTAACTGACCGCCATCGTATTTTACCACCGGTGAGCAGGAAGCCCTCATCTGTGAGCTTTAACAATTATTAGAAGTGCTGCAAACATCTCTCACGTGAATGTACGGAATATCTAAAATAAACAGGTTCATTAAAAAGCTAGAAGTGCAGCTGTGTTGTACTAACTTCCCACTGCCTGCCACGCTCTGTGCTGAGTCGGCAGTGTCATACGGTCACTTTACACAACTCAGCCTGAGGACTGGACCTTGCCCCACTGTGTGTGGGGTATGTGTCGACTACTTATTACAGAACCACCTTCACACAGACGTCTGAGTGCCTGCGTGGGAGTGCACTGTGCACTGTGCACTATGCTGCTGCCCCCCCCCTCCCCCTGTCTGTTAAGAATGAGCTTGAGATGTGCGACTTGTGGTTACCATGGTGACGCCTCTGAGAAAGCTGGCAGAGCGTAAGTGCACGCACAACATGTCGGTGCAAAAGCAGTCCGGTTATGAGGCGGACACACTGTGCTGCTCAGTGATGCAATGAATCTGTCCGTTCCCTTCCTCCTGAGTTGCGGGGGTGGGGGTTGTTTTCTATGTCTTGTGTTACTGCTGCGCAAATATGTTCAAACTAATGTACATACAAGTGCTGACATGCCCATGTATATCACTCACAGGTCTTACTATTCACTGCTAACAGTACGACACTCTTTACTGAATCATCTAGTCAGAGTTATCTGCAGCAACCAGACAGCTAGACTTAAAACTAGCAACTAAAAGTGATTTACATTATTGTATCTTTACGGTTAATCAGGTTTATATTTGATGTACTTGAGGACCCAGGGGTGCCATGTATTCTCAATGAACCATTTACCCGTGATCTTAGCAGTAGTAATGACCCCAGAGACAGCTGCCAGCGACTTTGTGTGTAAACAACACAGGCGGTAAAACAGCCGTCTGTCTCTACGTCTTCAAGTACATCCACACTGGCACTACCTCTTCCTCTACAGGCCAGAAATATACTGACCTACTGCACCACGACGCCTGGCATCCTACCTACCAGTCTTCTTACAACCGGACTGACTCAACAGGTGAGTCACGGAGCGCTCAGGGAAACTAGAGTCAGAGGTTCTTTTATCTTACGTGTGCCTCTTAATTTTATCATATGACCCTTCCATGTTATTTACACTTTATAGTTAAGTAAAAAAAAAAAAAAAAAAAAAAAAAAAAAAAAAGAAGCTTGAACTACCCTGAAAAGATACTTGTGCACGTGCCACAAGAGCAGCGTGATTAACTCGACTCAGACATTTCTTGTGAGGCAAAGCAGCTGAAGCGGAAAGACGGCTTCAACTGAGTAGGTGTGAGTGATGAGTAAATGAATTTCAAACTGTGCCACAGCGGAGAGGTGGCTGGTCACACTTACCATGTCATTGCCAGAAACTGCAGAATACAGAAGATGATAGCAAGCCCCTTTTTATGCCACTGTAGAAGAAAAAAAAACACACAAAACGGTAATCAGAATAGTTGAAAACGCCGCACTAAAACAATAAAGACTGGAAGTGGCTTTAAAAACCACGCGTTGACTACTTACCCAAAACACTGCACAAAGAGTTAAGACAAGGCAGAGCTGAAGGAAGGAGAGAGGAAAGGTTATCTTATCTTAACAACAACAAAAAATATAAATCTGTGAAGTCAGAAACAAAGTAAACTCATCGTGGCCTCATGTCAACAAGGAATCAGAGAGAACACTGCATCTATTACCTTCTATAAGAAGGTAAGTAAGATAAAACATGAGGACCGAGTGAAGCATCTGGCTCAACTTCAGGTGTAAAGTAACAGCAAAGCACACGGTATTTACCAGCATGACAATGGTGGCTATCAGTCTCTTTGGTTCAAACATGCGCTTCAGCTGTTTTAGTGGTCCCATGAGGAAGCAGGTGCTGTACACGAACAAAAACAAAGAAACAAAATAATTACACTTTTTATACAAATATTATCCTGGTGGTCAGCTGTGACAGACATAATACACACATACCATTACGCCTCCATAAATATTGAATATTTAGGGTCTAAAAATCTGTGTTTATTCCATAAATCTAACATCAGAAAATTAAAATCTTATAATATAAACTTTTGGTCACGGTGGATTTCAGTAAAAAGTCTTCATACACCAACAAATCTCTTCCGACTGACATCAGAAGAGTGTCGCCACCATAACCAAATTTACACTCCATGCTGCAATTAATTAGGGGTAAATATTTCATACCCGACACCACAGTGACACATTTCAGACCTCCTACATGATGCATGCGTGACATCAGTAAATGTAACAAGACAAAGGCTTTCCCCGCCGACGAGTCATGCAGCTCTGGGCCCAGCGGAGCCGAGTGGGCAGAGGGAGTCTGTGCAGCGTCACGTCTGTTAGGTGAGACATCAGAGCCGTCCGTGTTGACGCAGACTCTTTCTACCGGTCGGCAGAGAGGGATGGATGCTTTTTAATCAACCGCTCATTATGACACTAATGATATCCACGCACATGCTGCTACTGCGGTACAGGGAGCAACGATACCATTGACAATATGAAACCAATGCTGTAGTGTTATCTTCTTGCAGTCAAAATCACATAAAGATGAAAATTGCATTAAGCTCCTTCAAATATGACACTGGCTTGGTTTGGGTCGGTAACCTGGGCTATGAAAGCAGACGGTGACCCTGTGTCTTGATGCACCTAAACCCTCTGGACATATGATACCCGACAATAGACGGCCCCAGTCTTTAAAAAGTCCCCCCGTCAATCGTTCACTGTCAGAGAAGTCAAAGACACCTTGATTAGATTTAGCCCGTGGCTTATCGAGACTAAATAACCAAAAATGTTGTAAAATCCAGGAGGATGCTGATAACTAGTGATAGACAATATCATTCTAATATTGCAGCATTATTAGAGCACACAGCCAGATCCTACTAATACTGGCTGAATTAATGTCACACTACAAAAAGGAAACTTTTACACTTTCATTGTGGCTCAGCGACAAGTTTAGTTTTCTGTAAAGAAGAATAATGTACAAAGAAAGATCAGATATTGGCTGTGTACTGTGATGACAGACTTGAGAGTATGGCCTGTCACTGGGATGAAATTAACCTGGTATGCAATGCTCCTATACAGATAATAATAAGAGAACAAACACTAATGCACGGTAGAGACAGGTAGAGACCAAACTGTTTGGGGAGACAGGAAGTCAGTCTGTTCACACTGACCAGTCTATCCTTAATAATCTCCTACTGACTTTCAAGCAACATACAAATAATCTGCAGGGCACAATTAATTATCTAATAATACAGATCACAATTAAATAAACTAGATTAGGTGCAGTATTAACCCTTTGCAAACAGTGTCTAACCATTTTTTGTTATGCATGTAGTGATTACAGGTCTCAGGAGATTTAAATGTTTAGGTTTACTAAGTGCCATATTACTGCGAATGCAGTTCTCTGTTCATTTAGATTGTCGTTCTACTTAAAAAAAAAAAAAAAAAAAAAGTACAATTATACTAATGCTAATCTGATTAAATGATGGAGATTATAATTTTCGCTATAATCTGGTGCAGAACCAGTAGTAACCACTGCTTTATCATGTAAATATATCATATAAATCAGAAACATCTCATGGCTCCTCAGGCACTGTGCTCCAAACTCTGAGCCACAGGTGATGAGTGCACTGAGGGTAAGACGGTAAATAACTGCCATAATTACAGTACTTGATGTGTTGTCTTCTTTATTAACAGTTTACAAGCAAAAACTTGGGAGAAATGTGTAGCTGTGCCAAGGATGACTGTAACAGAGTAGTGTGTCAGTCATCAAGGCATCAAGTTTCAGAGTTTATGAGCCTGATGCTCAGCATTTGTTGTATTCCTGGCAGTGAGCCATACTCACTACATCGAGTCATTACAATCATCTGACCGGCCAGGTTGAGCTGGACTTACCTGGAAAGAGCTGCGATGTTCCCTATAGTGTAGAAGACGGCGAAAAGCTTTGATCCATTGGGAAGGAACAGCAGTGCTGAACCCTGACAACACAGCAAAGAAGTCCCCGTCAGCAACACAGAATAATGTCACCAAACTTTAAAATAGGGACAAGTGGAAAGAATCTAAATGAGTCCTGGATTCTGATATGATTGACGGCTTACATCTATGTCATTTATTTTTCTTGGAACAAACAAAAAGCAACACGGACTTCTGCGAGCTGTCCTTAGGTTTCATTGACACACGATGGGCTTCCCCTAGTGGCAAGATACTATATGAGGCTTTGTTATGATTCGCTGCCTGTGTGTCATGAATGCCCACTATCTGGACCACTTTCAGTGAAAGAGACTAGTGTCACGCTGTGAGTGTGAACAGAGTGTGCATTTCAGCGTGGGAGGAATAACATTTAGACTAAGCTTTTAAAAAGATGGAGCTTTTTACTCAAGTGTTGGTTGTAAGAACATTTAATTAAATAACCTGCAGATAATAACTGCATCTCACAGAAGGAGCAAATTCTGGACATTGCTTATTTCTACAGAAAAAGGGGAGCACGGGGCAGCCTTGTGGCTCTGCGCCCGACTCTGTGACTTTCACCACCCAGGTCTACATGGGTTCTGTTGGGGCTTTGTCAGAGTGAATCCCTATGTGGTGGCTTCAAAGTGTCATCAGCAAGTGCAGCCAGTGACAAGACTTCCTGTAATTTCAACTGCAGACTACACTCTACAAACTGAAAATTTCAGCTCTTTGCCGACAGCAAGCAACCTTTAAGTGTTAATTAAGTGTAAGTGACATGTGTCAGTCACTATCATCTGCAAGCGTGCAAGAGAACAGGAATTTGTCTAGATGGTATTTGCGCTGAGCCATGTTAGTTTGAGAGTTTCATAATGCCTATAAATCCAACATAGCACAAGAAAAAAATAACTTGGACCATAACCCAACAACAGTAATAGTGTTATGTATGCTCTGCAATCCTAATGTCAGTATGAAGTCCAACAGAACATAAAAGATGCCTTTTTCCAACATGAAAGGCAGAGACACTCACGAGTATTGAACACAGGATGCCTCCAGCAAAGCATATGACAAAACATTTCACCCTGGTGCTGTAGCTGAGAGTGCTGGCATCGAGGACCTGGTGAGAACAATGGGAGGATGTCACAAGACGAGTCTAATGACCCGCAGAAAGACTCACAGGCTTTCTACTGGGGATTTAACCATGTTGGCTAGAGCCAAACAGAGAACACCCAGCGACAATAATATCTTTAAACACAAACACACACGGCACAGGTCTACGTTACAGACAGAGAGCATTACTCTGTACACTGAATTTAGGCAAAAGAACCAATACAACCAAACTACGGAGCACCTCTTGGGTCACATGATAGAAAAAGAAACTCCATGTGTATTGAGTTTCTTTTTCTTTTTTTGCACCATGTGACCCCAGAAGGGATCCGTACCAAACTGTACAGAATAATCTGCAAGAAAATGCAGAATTGCAGACTATGTTGTGCCAGGGTGAAACTTGTAACCTCTTGCAAAGTTAGAGTTACAATCATGTAACACAATATAAAAACACAGTATTCAAGTCAGCATCTTACCCCGTGTCCTCCTCATCGGGAACGCGTGTAAAAAGTGTAAATAAACAAACAACAACAATTTATTGAATGCTGCCAGAAACATATGATAGTTAAAGTTAGCTTTAGTGTATGCTTAAACAGACTCCGAAAGGAAACATGATAAGGAAAGTGCTATGTTAGCTAACTCAATGTCTATGAAATGCTATCACTACTTAATAATATAGCTAGCTAACCAGCGTAAGCTAAGTTAACGTTAGCTAACGTTGACTGTAAGATAACAAACCACTTTAACGTTGAAAGCAGGTATCCGAGAGGTAACGTCCAATCTCAGACAGGAAAAGAAACTAGCACAATTCATGTTTTTATTACATGTTATCCACGTAACGTGACACAGAGTTAGCATTAGCAGCGTGTAGCTGTCATACAGTTACCTGGTCAGTGAGACCCAGCTCTTCGTTCTCCTCATGGCCGCTTAACACACGACGAAGCTTGTCCATCGCTACAGGCTGTTAGTGAGCAGAAGGGCGGGAGAAGTCAGAATGTCTATATTTCCAACTGCACGTCTGATATTTATGTCTGAAAGTTTTGATTGCAGAAGTGACAAGTTTGACTTCCTGACTTCCTGAACGGTGCTTTCTGTAAGTGCTGACTTAGAATCGGTTTTTTCGCAGCCAGTGTTGGCCAACGTCTACGGGGAGGCGTTTAAATAACAGACTGCAGATCAGCTTCAAAACCCCCACTTCCTCGGAACTGCTGCTGCCTTCCGGTGCTGTTGGAAATACTAGTGTTGCTCAATGAACGGCGTCCGAACAAAACGAGCACAAATGTTGTGGTCTTGTTGGACTGTATTGATAACGTGCTGGCATTTCGGGTGTGGTAGGCTGTTGGTGCCTTGCACGAGAAAAGCCTAATTATTAAAGCAAAGCTGACTGTACACTCGATGATATATTTGACTCTACGTTCAATCTTTAAAGGCTTGAACAGACAAATGAATATAACCTGTATAAGAGGTCTGAAAATTGCCATATAAAATAGTGTTTATTTGCATGGTTTGGCCTATTTACTTTTTGTATTGCTCATGGTTATTAATTATGTGGAAACCTATAAAGTAAATACAGTTTTATGCTCTTGCTTTTATCTCGCTTTGCCGCCATCCAGTGGAAGTACAGCAAAAAGGAAAGAAACAGTTGGCACTATCAGGACTTTGGGCTACTTCGCTATGTCCTCCTCCTATCATGACCATGCTTGGTAGTTTTACTAGCTTATCGTGTGCAGACTGCAGAGAGTGTTTTGTCTAACTCAATGCATAACTTTAGCATTACCCATGCAAAGGACACTGGTTGTCAAACACCATTATTGATAATGCCCATGTGAAGGGCTTAGCCTATGTCGAAACATTTATCTGGCATGATTGCTAAAATGAAATGACACAAAGGTTTGTTGATGCCTTGTTTTTACCTGAGGTTCCCCTCATCTTGTAGGCTTGAATGCCATGTTTTTAACTTCAAAATGAAATATAGTCTTTCAGCATTAAATGTGATTCTGTGTCTCAAGGCTTGCCTTGCATTTAGCATCAACATAACTGGAGCCAAATGACAGTTATGTGAAGCTTTTGACTTTGGACCACAGTGTCCTCCTGAGGAACATAGTCATCATGTACTTTTTATGAGTATGCAAGCAGAAATCTTTACTCTAATTATCCTTAAATGGGCTGCAGTTACAGACACAAGAGTTAGCGAACATAATCAGCAGGAAAGGGTTGCACCAAAAACACAACAAATACAAGTTATTCTCACAATCCTCAATCCTTTGATATAGAAATTATAGCCTCTACGTCCTTTGTACCAGCCCAGACAACCCTTACTTCCCATACCACCCGGCAACGCCACCGGGGCTGCCGGAGCACAATGCCACCGAACTCATTGCAGTAGAGGTGAGGCGGTCCAACGTTTAATTAAATGTTTGTGGATAGGTTGAGTTATACTACACGGAAGCCAGGAGGTTGCTGTTCAAAAGCAGACTCTTAAATCATGATTGTCTCTCAGATCTTGAAGCTTGGTCAAACTTCCAAAATCAACACAAGGATTATTTTCCTACTTTTTTTCATAACCAGTGTAAGTCTAGAAAACACACCTAAAAGATTTTACTCTACTATATTTTCGAGACCAACCTTCTTATGATTTATGAAGTTTGGTGGTGAGATTTTATAAATGTACAATTATTAGTGTTGCAAATTGTTTATGTGTCACAAACTGTTGTGTCGTGGTGTTTTGCCCTGTTAAAGAGCGTTAGTTGTGGGTTATTAATTGTTGTTTTATAAAGTTATAACCAGGATTAGAGGTCCCTCTCAATACACATAAGAGAACTAGCTCCGAGTGTAGCGCTATTAGCGGCGAACAATATATATTGCTGCCTGTTGAAGACAGTCAGAAGTTAATTCGGCTATGCACCGGTATGACGGTATGTGAAAAATTCATATCATACAGGAAATTAAAACCGGTACCGCCCACCACTACTAGAAAGTATGAGCAGTGGTTTAGCCGCGGCCTGCCTCAGAGCTGTCCAGGTGTCTTCTGTGGAGTTGTTGAAAACAGTAGGTGCAGGTTGAAGACCCAGATGATGGCATGTGGAGTGGGACTGACCTCAGTGGAAGAAACCTTGAGCACCGGATGTGATGATGAATGGGGGGGGGGGGGGAGAGCGTCACATCGGTTTGTACTGAAATGAGAGCTGACTGCAGAGAAGAGAACAGGTTTAAAGGTTGACGGGAAATATATGATTGGCTTAGGGAGGCCGTGGCGAAATCGCCCACTGTCAACTGGTAGAGTAGGAGTCAGAGAGATTTGTGAGTGAATGAGAGCATAAAGACACTGTCCTAATGTAGGAAGTTAGAGTAAATCCCAACATTTTACATAGTTAATTATTTTACAACTGTATGATTATAAATACTATATTGCAAAATAGCACTCCTATAAGCAAAGTTCTCTAAGTCTTACTGTACTTTACTCTGGCACGCAGACTTCCTGCCCCCCAGGTAGCATTGAAGACTGGCCGACCGTCTTTACCTCTGCTGACGGCAGCCTGCGGCTTGCCCCACATGCTGACTCCTGTCACCATGCAGAACTCAAGAGCGCGACTGTGTCAGCTCCCACAGTTCAAACACTCACCGTCAGCATTGGCTCAGAGAAGCCAGGGCTACTACCTGGGTGTTGAGTGGTTGAAGATACTGAGGTCAATTGGCACAAGCCATCTGGCTTCATACATAAGATGACACGTCAAAATTCTAATCCCAGCATTCCATCCAGCATTCTATTCTATTCTGTTATGTTCTGTTCTATTCTGTTCTATTCTCAAGGGCAGATAATGTCTCCTTTTATGAATTCACTATTTGCTAGTCCAGCGTTCACTATGTTTTCCATGGCACAGTTTTCACAAAACTCCACACATTATGACCCATTAGCAGTAATGACATAACACTGTATATTACAAAAAAAATATTTTTGTCTCTTGCTTTGCAGATTGCAGATATTTTAAATCATACATACAACAAGTCACAACAAAAGTTTAAACTGTTGCAAATATCTCCACAAATTATCCTTTTAACATCGTTAAGCTGTCTATGTTTGCGAATTCATATTCAAATGCTAATACTGTATATTGCATCCCGTGTACTGTATGGTAACTATATCCACACCCAAATATCACCTGCACCTGAGTTTGGGAATTAGTCAGTTGATGGATTTAAGACCTTAAAACAGTTTTGAACTGAATTATTTGGTGGATAATAGTTATTAAGACAAATAATAAGTCTTTCTACGAATTATTTTTTGTTTGCGTAGCACGTTTCACTGCTCTGATTGGAAGAAACGCAATTTGCATTTTACTATGAATTTTTTCGACATACTATACTGACTTTGTTATGACTTTATTCAACATGGTATACTATGACTTTTTTATGACTATCCAACATAATCCATGACTTTTGACAAAGTACCATCTAATTCATCTCTCCTGATCATTCACTGAAGTCTGGATCAGTGGTGTTGTATCACAACAGAAACACTATCGAAAGACAACATTTAGTGACACACTAGGGAATGTATGGAGAATATGAACAAAACCTATAAAAAGACATATTTAGTTGATTTCAAAACTCAATAACTGTGTTAGACAATCTTAAAAACTAATATGTATCATTGACACAATACATTTGTTGTCATTTCAAATAGGTAATGAACTCTAATTCTGCTTCTGCCTTAAATGAAAGCTTGAAAATGCATTTTTCTGTCTGATGAATATAAAGAAGTAAACATGTCCCCACTAGGGGACAGTGTTTCCTAAAACAACACTTACCTCTGTGAATAAATGTGAGAATACCATTCATCCCATAATTTACTGGGATAGTCCCTAAGCCTCTGTGCTTGTATTTTAACATTCTTTTAGAAAGCTACTACTCTGTACAACATGTCGAGTGATATGCATCCCATTTAAGAAGCACTTTTAGTTTTATTTGCGGAAATGTATTTATTTTTGGACTGCTACATATTTAGACTGCAGTTGCAGCCAAAAGTGAAAATATATACCTCTTGTTGGAGCTGGACGTGGTCACGTATTGTTTAAATCAGTGGTTCTCAAACTTTTTCTGTCACGCCCCACTTTGGAGGGGCCAAAGTGGGGCGTGACAGAAAAAGTTTGGGGCGGTTCATGCCCCACGGCGGTTCATGCCCCACCGCCCCATCAAAATTGTAACAAAATGCTCCATGTTGAACTTTTATTGAAATAAATGTCGTTTTATTAAAGTTTGTTCAGGAACAGGGCCACGCCCAGAACACCGCTCATTTCCTCTGCACAAAGTATTTAAGCACAACGAACTCGTTCACTCCCTCTTCGACTCTTGTCTTCACATCCCTCCCCCCCCAACCCCCTTTTTGTCATCCTATTTCTCTCTCTCTCTCTCTCTCTCTCTCTCTCTCTCTCTCTCTCTCTCT